GTACAAATAGAAATAGTCTAGATTTTATATAAGCTTTTTTTTTTAAAAAAAAAAAAAATTTCGTGTGAATAGATTTTATATAAGCTTTTTTTTTAAAAAAAAGAAACTTTTAAAAAATATAAAAAAAAATTTACATTAAAAAATAATAATTATCCATTTTTAAAATCTAAAGTTATCAAATGTTTCTTAGAAAACGCAAAGCAGGCTTAAGTCAGCGACGACAGAATCAGAATATTTCATTTCGTCTACGTAAACAAAAACAAAAACATGTTGAACAAGTAAAAGAAAACAATAACATAAATAAAAGTGAGAGTGAAAATGAAAAGGAAATTTCTGCTAATGAAGAGGAACAAATTGTTAATAGTGATACACTATCAATTTTATCAACAGAAAATTTAAATAGTAATAGTAATTTAGATTCTTTAACGCAAAATTTGATACCAAATGATAACTGGCAAATTGATATTTCAAATTTGTTATCTGACGATGAAATGGAATATAATGATAGTAATTTTGTGAATGAAGAAAATGAATATGAAGATCAAACAGTAGATAGTGAAACTAAACAATATGACAATAGTAATAAAATACACAATTTTTCCGGAAAGGCAGAACCTTATTTTTCTAATTTTACACATTTTTTATTATTTATGTGGATCACAAAACACCAAATAGGTATAGTATATTTGTATATTTAAAACAAATTTAGATAAGATTTACAATAATATAACTTTATTTTAATAAATACTAGGTTGCGAGGCATATCGGGATTTTTCAAATATTATCAAACATCCAGATTTTAATATCAGTGATGTTCCATACTCTATTACCACAATTAAAAAATACTGGGATAGTTTACCATTAATTACATTTAATGGTTATGATATTGAACTTAATGATCGTGATACTCCTTCAACATCAAAACCAACTCGTCAAGCATTTGTATTTCAATTAAAAAGAATTTTACAACGTATAATGCTAAATCCATCATTACGTGATCAAATGTATTTTGGTTCAGGTATTTATTCCGAAATTAGACAAGAACTATGGCATGGTAATATTTGGCATAAATCACCATTATTTGGCATTACATACATCTATATAAATAATGGTAAATATACTTTGATTATTACAACATTATAATTGTCTAAAACTTATTTTATTTATTTATAAACTATCTATTTTATAGTTATGTATAACCTTGGAGACTTTATTACATATTATGATAGAAACTCCAATACTTCTATTAACTATGGACGAATTATTGGTTTTGTTATTTGTGACAAAACTAAATGTTTTTTAATAAAAGCAGAAAGAATACTTGATTTTAATTCATTACCAAATCTTCTGAAATCTCGTCAAAGAAAAAATCAAATTAATAATACACAAAAACTTTGGATGACTAATGAGAATGAAATGATTGAACTCAATTGGATTGAATCTAAAATCAATGTATGGCTTATGGATACGAAAAAACCTGACAATTATGATTATTGTATTAATGAAATTGTCTATAAGAGTAATAATAAATGGAATACACGATCAGTTGATCTTCGTCACAAACATCCAATTGAATATACTCCAATACGAAAAATTTCAGATGAATTACCTGTTTTTAAATTTTTTCTTGATATTTACATTGATAAATTTGGACCATTTCGTAATGCATATCATGCAATAGGAGGAATCTATTTACAAATTGGAAATATGACACAAGTTATGCGTCAGAAACTTAAAAATCATTTTCTTTTAGGATTTATTCCTTTTGGTGCAAATTGTAATGATGTTTTGAAACCTATAATTGAAGATATAAAAGAACTTGAAAATGGATTTGAAATGGATTTAGATAATAAGCGTATTTGGATAACTGGTGGATTGGGAAATATTACATCAGACTTACCTGAAGGAAATGAACAAGCTGGAATTAAGAATCATAATGCTAACCATGGCTGTCGTACTTGTACTATCCATCATGATGAATTAAATAATATGTCTTTTGATCTTGCAATGGGAGAACGTTACCATCACAAGACTTCTTTACAATTTGTTGAGTTGGATAATGCTCAAACTCATGGTGAAAAAGAATTCCTATCACAACAATATGGAATTCGAAATAAACCTTCAATTTTTGATAATGTGACTCGTGATCGACATTTACAATGCCCTCATGTAAGGTTGCTTGCTGAAACCTAGGGGTTTAGGCAAGATGGCGTTTCGCCGAAAAGCGAAATTCTGCCGAAACTATATTAAAGTTATATTAAAAAACTGGCGAAACTTTGGAGAAAGGCGAAACTGCCAAAACT